GCCAGTCCCCTGGCCCAGCCCTCCTCCTGGCTCATGGGGATGCTCTGGCAGCGGGGTGGGCAGCAGCAGGAGCCCGTGGCACACAGTGGGGCGGCACTGTGGGTGCTCTGGCCATGCTGGCAGCAGCAAGCCGTGGCACGGAGCAGGTCCCTGCAGTGGCCTCAGCGAGTGTCCCCCTCCCCATCCGCGGAGGCCATGACGCCGTCGATCCAGGCCGCGTACGGGGCGATGCGGGTGTAGATGGCCGGTTTCTTGTAGTTGCCGCAGACGCGGGAGCCGGCCGTGACCACCCCCTCGGCCACCCCACCGCAGACCAGGGGGCCACCGGAGTCTCCCTGCAGGACCAGACCTCATCAGTATGGCCAAGGACACCCCAGCCCATCTCCCACCCCTCGTTCCTGCCTCCAGGCTCCTGTGAGCCGCTCTGCAGCGGCAGCACAGGGGGAACTCACTCCTGGGGACTGTCCCCTCCAGCTCCGCAGCCCCTCACCTCTCCCAGGCTCTGGCCACGGTGCCCTCTTGCCCCCTCCCAGCCCTGCCATGGATCCGTGGTGGGAGTGTGGTACCTTGCAGGTGTCCCTCCTGCGGGAGTCGGTGCACATCATGTTCTTGGTGATGGTTCCATCGTGGCGCGTGCGGTGGTTGCAGACGTCGCGGCTGATCACCGGCCGCTCCAGCTGCTGCAGCTTGTCCGGCCGGGTGCCGCTGTGGTCGATGGTGCCCCATCCTGCCACCTCACACATCGTGTCGGGCGCCACGTCCCTGTCCTCCCGCTGGAAGGGCAGCACCCGCACGTCCACGTTCAGCTCCGCTTTCTCCTCCAGCTGCCACAAAGCCAGAGGGGACCCAGGTCACAGGGGCAGCTGTGCTCACGGCCCAGCAGGGCACAGTGAGCCCGGCCCTGATACCGAGACCACCCTGGCCTCAGCCACACTCAGGAACTCCTGACTGGAGCCCCAGGATGCAGCCAGAGATCAGAGCTGGAGCTATGAGAAAGACAGAGGCATTTGGACACATCTCAAAAGTCTTTGGTGGGGGAAGCAGGGATGGTCCCGTGGGACAGGGAGGGGTGGACAGGGGAACCAGGCCCAGCCTGACCATGAGGATTTCCTCCAGCCAGTCAGTGACCCTGCAGGGTCCCAGGGGACAGTGGTATTTGCAGGAACGGGGCTGTGCCGGGTGGGGAGGAGGGTCCCATCAGCCCCCAGCCCACCTGGAGCAGGAGAAGGTCATCCTTGTTGTTGTGGATGTTGCTGCCAGGGTGGGGGAACTGGGCTCGCACTTGGTACAGGCGTTTGTGGGGCTCCGGTTCCGTCAGCGAGTGGGCACCCAGCAGCACCTGGAAGAGTTTTCCATCCCTGGAAGAGAGTCAGAGTGTGGGACAAACAACCAGGAGAGTCACTGCACCCAGCCATGGAAATGGGGTGCTGTGGGGGGCTGGAGAGGTCCAGGGAGCTCTGGGAGGTCCTTCACCCACTGCCCAATCCTCTCTGCAGGTGGGAGCCGAGTCCCACGCTCTGACACGGGGGTCGAGGCTCTGGAGTGGGATTTGGCCTGAGTCCAGCAGCCCCCCCCAGCCATGCACTGAGCCCCACACATACTCACGTCTCCTCGGTGCAGTGGGCAGCGCTCAGCACCCACTGCTCGGCGATGAGGAAGCCCCCACAGACGTGCTGCCCATCCAGCTGCAGCGAGGCCATGTACGGCTTCAGGTGGGGCCTGGCTTCGGAGCCCCTCAGGATCCGTCCCCGGGGCTGCCCTGCAGGAGAGAGGCTGGGTCAGCTGAGGGGCACTGGGCAGTGTCACTCCCGTTGTCCCTTCCCGGGATCCCTGGACCCCTCCTTGCGGGCTGCAGCAGCACCTGGCTGCAGGTGGAGGCAGGAATCGGGGAGCTGGGCAGGCACCGTGCCCTGTCACTGCCCGGGGGTGCGGGGGGAGCACTCACCATCCACTGGGGCCCAGAGCAGCAGCAGCAGAGCGAGGACAAGGACGGGAGCAGGACTCGGCCCCATGGCTGCAGAGCCCGGCGGTGTGCGGGGGTTTTGGGGTGTGCGGGGGTTTTGGGGTGTGCGGGGGTTTTGGGGTGTGCGGGGGCTGCGGGGAGGACTCTGCTCACCCGGAGCTGGGGCTGGGACTCGCTTTTATGTCCAGTTTGGGGTGGCGGGGGGGCAGGAAAGGGTTGGGGGCGGAGGGAGCGGGGGGGTTTCCGCAGCATGGGCTGAATGTTTTGAAATATTCAGCTTATAAAAGGGGTCAAGAGTTCCCGGCACAAACAGTGCGGGAGGAGGAAACAGCCCGGCCCAGCTGCCGGCCCTGGCACCCGCCGCCGGGGATTTCTGCGCCGGGGTTTTTAGTGCCGAAAAAGTTCAGGCTCTTGGCAAAAGAAAGCTCCGGCAAATTCTGTCCCCGCCCCGCCAGGAGCAGGGGCCCCCGCCCGGCTTGGGGCGCCGGTCCCTGGTGGGTGCTGGGTGCCAGCTCGGTGGGTGCCCAAGGATGCAAACCCGTCCCGTCACCCCTGCCCCGAGGGGGTTCCTGCAGGGCTGGGGGCGGCGGGGATGGGAGGGGGGATGGCAGCGACAGGGGCGGTGTCCGGGATGCCGGTGGCGGTGGTAGCCCCGCTCCCCTCTGCCTTTCTCCCCGGTGCCACTAAGCGGAGCCACCGCCTCTGCTCCCGCCCGGTCCCGGCGCGTCCCCGAGCTCCGGAGCCTCCCGGAGCCCCCTCCCGGGCTCGTCCCCGGAGCCTCTCACCGCGCCCCCCTTGTCGGGATGACCACCGTGGCTCCCGACAGCGCAGCCGGGACCGAGCAGCGCTCCGGGGGACACCCCGCAAGGATCTGGAGCCCACCCTCTCCTGTTCTTGCTCCACGAGCTTTCCCACCTCCGAGCTGCCGCATTCCTGTTGTCCGGCTGCCCCATCGCCCCCACCTCTGACCCTCCGAGCCCCCAAACCAGTGGAGCCGTGGTCAGCGGGTGGCCGGACACGGAGGCGAGGAGGGGCGCTGGGGGTCCCCGGAGGCTCAGCTGTCCCTCCGCAGTGGTGGCTTCGCCTCCCCGCTGTCCCCACGTACTGGTGGCACATGGTGGGCAGGGGTCGCAGCACGAGGTGTGGTGGCATTACGGGAGGCGGCTGAGTCCGGCTCAAACCCTGGATTTTCCGCAGGGAGAGCGGCTTAATCGCAGCTTGCAGGGATTCGGGATTTAGATGTTAAATACGCCCGGAGATTTCTGCCCACTTAGGGCCAAAAATGGAACGAGGGCACCATGTGGAGCCCGGGCTGCTCAGACCCCGGACAGGACCGTGAGAGGGTGGGCAGTGGGCGGCTGGGGGGAACAAGTGAGTGTGGGGTGCAGGAATGGGGTACAGGGTGGGATATTGGGTAGGGCACAGCCCGGATCCTCTGCAGAGCGAGGGCAGGGGCAGATGGGGCTGGGGTGCTGCTCCCTCTGCCAGGAGGTGCTGGGAGCCTCCAGAAAGGAAAGGGAGCTGCTCCCACCTCTCCAGGTCCAAATCTGGGAGACACAAAGCTCCATCTGAGGGTGCCCCTGTCACTGTCCCTGGGTCCAGGAGTGCCCCTGAGTCCCCCCTGAAGCCCCCGGGTGCCACGGGCAGGGCAGGCATTCCCCGGCCGACAGAGCCCAGCTGCGGGCTGGCAGAGCTCTGGGGCTGTGAGTTTGGGGGTCACGCACCCCCGTGAGGCGGGACCCCCGCTCGGGCACCCCTCGGGTCCCCACAGGCCCAGGGCAAGGGAGGGGGCTCTTCAGGGCAGGAGGGGCCTTGGGGCAGGGGGCACCACCCCGCAGCACAGGGGGACAAGGGATGATCGGGGGGCCGGCGGTGGAAGCAGCCCGGGTTGGGGGCGGCTCCGGGACCCCGCGGGTGCCTCGGTGCCCGGGCATGGTCCTGGGTGCGGAGCGGTGCGGGGAGAGGTCGGTCCCACGGCTGTCCTCGGCCCCGCCCGGCCCTTTGTTCGCCTCGTTTCCCCCCTCCCTACATCCCGAAAGCCCCGATCCCCCCAGACCCCCCCATCCCTGCACCGACGGAGGCTCGATGGGGGCTCGGCGGGGGCTCGGCGCCCCGGGAGGGGCTGGGGGCTGCGGGGCGGAGCGGGGGGCGGCGGGCGAGGGAGGAGGAGAAGGAGGAGGAGGAGGAGGCGGCGGGGGCGGAGGAAGCCGCCGCTCCCCGCGCTCTGCCGAGGCAGGAGCATCCCGGATCCCGGGGACATCCCCCCCTTCACCGCCGCTACCGCCGCCCCCCGCCCCGCTGCGTCCCGGAGCCGCCGCTGAGGTGAGTGGGGGACACAGACCGGCACAAAGGGCCGCTTCTCCCCACCCCGATACCCGCTTCCATCCCTCGGCCCCGACCCCCGCCCGCGGCTGCGGCACGGTCCCTGCGAAGGGGAGGCTCCCCGCTGCGTCCCCCCGCCCTCCCGGTTATACCCCCGGTTAATCCCCCGTTATTCCCCC